TATTAAAATACTGAAGAGAAAGATGACTTTAATTCAAAAAGCTTCATTCTTCAACAAGATCAAGATTCTTTCTCTTGAAACTAAAATAGTTGAATTAAAAGGTAAGTTGCTAGATCTGGAATTAGAATATAATTTGAATATACAGTCAAACCTTAATATAGTGAACCCTTGATACAGCGAATTTTTAAATCAAATATATTAAAATTACCTTACTATTGTGAACTAGCCAATTAAATTCTTTAAAAAATTGTTATAAGCTTATAACGAAGTTGATATCCAGATCTTAGAATTTGTTATATCAAGAGTTTACTGTAGTTGGAGGGAGAAGAGTCAGCCAAAATAAACTCAATTCTCTCAGGTTTGAATTCAAAAAAGCAAAAAATGATTTATCCTCAAAAGATTATGCGATAAAATGCATAGAAAAAGAGATAGAATCATTACTAAGTTTGTTAGATAAAATCCAAAGTTTAGACAGATGTCTAAATAGTAAATGTAAAACTTGGTTAAATTATATTAAAATCTTATTAAAAAATCTGTGAAATTCATAAAAAGGTAAAATTATATCAAACACTTAGTATAAATTTAGCAAAATCAGAAGTTTAAACGTTTAACCAATTCCAAAATAAGTTTAGATAAGCAATCTTAGTTATCATATAACATATTCGAATGGGAAATAAACATTCGATTTTTAGAGAAATTAAAATTAATGGAAAAAATTTAGTCTTATAAGAACCAGTCAATATCAAAGAAAGAACTAAAAGAAGTTTTGCATAATGAAATAGATTCTTCACTTCTGTCTATAAATAATTTATCACAACTATCCACTTTAATCTTTCATCCTAAATAATTTCTGTAGATAATACAGAAGTAGTTTTGGCTATTCCTATTGTTATGGGCTCCTTAATATTGCCAATATTAATATATATCATACTTACCTTATTATTTCTTATGATTATATGGTTCATGGTCAAAAAAAGGATATGGAATATGCCTTAATTTATATACTATTAATTAAATTTTTTAATAATAAATTAATCTTTTTAATAATTATTATATATCAATTATTTTATTAATTTAAAATAAAAAAATTCTTTAAAAATAATAAATATACTTCTTTAGTTAAAATCCCTTTTTTCTCATATTCATTTGAAAAAATATCCACATGATTTTTGGTGAACAATATTTACTGAAATTTGTCAAGAAAAGAGAAAGCCTGTTTCTTGCAGATTGACAGATCAAGAGAGAAGGTCAGTTATATCTGAAAAGAGCCTATTGCTTTATTTATTTCTTCGAGATTAGGTTTAAAATTTTTTTGTGCAAATAGTATGATAATAATATAACAACAAAGTATAAAACTATATAAAAAATTGAAACTTTAAATAAAAATACCATATTTGCCTCTTTCGATCAAAGACCTTTAGGAGAAAAGCTTTCTGATTATTGAGTCAATAGTAGTATTCAAAAGTAATCAAAGTGATAATTACCTTAAGTAATTGAAGTAGTAATATTCCAAGTAATCAAAATAGTAATACTTGAAATAATCGAAGTGATGATACCTTAAGTAATCAAAATAGTGATATTCCAAATAATAAAAATAGTGATACTCTAAGTAATCAAAGTGATGATATCTTAAGTAATCAAAGTAGTGATATTCTAAGTAATAAAAATAGTGATATTCTAAGTAATCAAAGTGGTGATATCCTAAGTAATCAAAGTAGTGATATTCTAAGTAATTAAAATAGTAATACCCAAGTAATTGAAGATACCCAAAAGTAATAAATATGGTAATAACCCAAGTACCAATGATGTAAGAATGAAATATAAGAGATCTAGAAACCTAAAATATAATATAGATTTAGTGATACCCTAAGGTAAAATTATATTAAAGAAAAGAAATAAGAGATTATAAATTTGAGGTATCACTAATACAGCATTTTGTGTCTCAACCTCAGCAATCGAATAGGTTATAAAAGACAGAATTGCAAAAATAACATAATATCAGCATTTTGTGTATCTCACACAGCAATCAAAAAGATAGTAAATAGATTGTAATACATTTTTAACAAATAGCAGGATTACAAATTTAGTACTTTGTGTCTCAACCTGACAATTGAATGGGTCAAACATAGTAGAATTGCAAATATAGCATATCTCTGGCAATTAAAAGAAAAATAAATATGAATTATAAATTTGGTACTTTGTGTTTCATCTGAAAATTAAGAAATAGTAATCAAGAGGAAAAATATATAGATTGCAAGTTTGGCACTTTATGTCTCAACTGACAATCAAATGTAAATTTAAAGGTAGGATTACAATTAAGTTTAACATTCAAGTTGTCATAAAAATGATCTAGAACTGATGAATTAATAAAATTATTCTAGCTCCATTAAAGATGCCAGCCGAAACTCCCTCAAAATAATTTCGTCATATCCCTTACTATGTTTTTAATATAGTTTCGGCTAATTTCAGGTTTCGGGGTTTCGTCGTACCCCTCACTATATTTTAATATAGTTTCGGCTGTTTATTAATTGCCTTTTTTGAGTTTCGTCCCTCATCTTTAAGCTCCATATTAGTTTCTTACTAGCTCTATAATGCTATTATAATGCTATTATAATGCTGAGTTAGATTCTCAAATCACGCTTTAAAGATCAGCCAAAGTTATGATATAGAGTTGACTGAAATTATGGCATAAAATTAGCCAAATTAACTACTAATTTACTATATCACTAACACAAATTTTTTTATCACAATTTGGCATTTAAACAGGTAACTAAATTGTAAGCATCTCAATATAGAATCTGACATCTAACTAGATATAGAAAGTAAGCACTCTCAAGATAAAACTAGGTATCCAAACAGCTATAGAAGGCCAGTAATCCCAAATATAGAATTTGACATGTAAATGACTCAGAAATAAGAAGAAAGGCATGGTATTTAGATCATATATATATATAATAATTAGATTATATTAAGATATTAAAACCATATCAACATAAAAAACATAAATAGCAGAAAAGATTTAATGATATAGCTAGAACGAAAAGAAAGAATATATGATATAGGAAAGCGAATAGATTATATGTGATATTTAGATTATAGGATCATAGATTATATGTGATACTCAGATTATATGTTTTAGATCATATGTGATATTAGATTATATATGTTATTCAGATCACATGTGTTATTCAGATTATATATGTTATTCAGATCACATGTGGTATTGCAATCTAGGATAAGTAGAATATTACATATGATATAATTATATTATATGTGATATTCTACTCCAGTATATATATAGGTTAATAATTATTATACAAATTACATTTTGTTATACTAGTATCAATAAACTTTTTAACTATAATAAAAGTTACAAACTTAAAATTAATTATTAATATAATATTACAACTAAAGATGGTACAGCAATTGATTTCAAATTTACAAAATGTTGTAACATAAGCTAAAATTAGTTGCAACATATGTTGCAACATTATAAGTTACAACATATATAGGTTAAAACTATTTGCAACGTAAGTTGCAACATTAAAAGTTGCAACATATTAATTACAATTCCCATCTTTAATTACAACTCTATAATTATGATATTTATTTATCTTTATTTTATTATATTAAAAGTTGAACTTAAATTAAATTTTTTATAAAGTTATAATTAGTAATTATAATTTCAAGTTGCAACTTCTTTATTATAGTATTATCTTTAATATATGCAATTCATCTTACAGAATTCTTTCATTCTTATATTTTATAAAACTCAGAGTTTGACCCTTCTGTGAGTGACTCTTGCCTTAGATAGAAATATCTTTTCTCCTGGTTAGGCATACATTACTCTTAAATATGGTTCTTAATAGATCTCCTATCTGAAATAATATTGATATATCACATCTTGATTATTTGGCCTTCATGATATATCATGATATTATTACTAAATACAGAAGGTTGGAAGGAATCTCTAACATCACCCCTCGATAATTCTTATGAATTGCAAAATCATTATGCAGCTTTTTAAATTTAAAAAAATAGTGTTTTAATTTCAAAGATTATATTAAATATTTAGTATACATGCATATTTGTGATCTTCCGATCATTTCCTATACAAAACTCATTTATTATTAATTGACTTGGAAAAAAATTTTTGATTGGATAATTATAAACTTTGTGTTTCCGGTAAAACAATCCGCTGTCCGATCTCAAAAGCCGGAAACTCGACATTATCGTCATTCCGTAGATCATGCATGGAAATAGTAGTCTGCATATTATTAACTATAATTGATTTGTAATAAAAGAAAAAAGATTTTTCGAAAAAACTTTTTTTTTCATTTTTGCTAAGGAAATTTTAGTTCTGCACAGATTCATGGTTTATATGCTATTTAATATTTCCATCATTACATTAATGTAAGGGGAAAGTAAAGAGTGTTCGTCGAAATCATCAATAAATTCAACATTTTCGGATAATAAATAAATCACGGAAAGGGTATCCCGAATTGATTATTAATACTCCAGAATATTATCGAAACATATTTAATTTCAATTCTATTAGATGCCGAAAATTTAACCGATTGTAATGCCTTTCTATTGCTTACGGGAATTGATAACAGGTTTATCATCTTGATAGACCACAAATATGCAATAATTTCCGGATCATTATATTAAAAGTTTTGCCGTTTCTATATCAAAGAATTTAATAATTTACCCTTTTGTTTTAAGGTTATCATGTGACTCTCATAATTTTTACATCAAATTTGCTTAAATACGACGAATTTTTCCTTGATAAAAAAATTGATTTATTGGTTTTTCTGCTCTTACAAATTCTAGCAAAAGATTATTATTATTTTATTCTTAAGATTTCTCTTATTTTAATTAGAGCAAATTTACAAAAGAAAAGATCATTTTTTATTCTTTCGAAATATAAATTCTTTATATATATATTAGTAGAAGTTACTGCGTCATCGTATACTTTTTTCCATACCTTTTTTTTAAAAATGACATTCTGGAAAAGTAAAACACTACCATCACCAAAATCAAACACATTAATTCCTGAAGCAAATGCAAACGTAATTTCAAAGCTTATATTTTGGTGGGCAGGAAATATAATGAGGATAGGGTATAAACGCCCTTTGGAAAAAGATGATCTTTATGTTTTGAATGATCCCAAACAAGCTAAAAACGTAACTGATGAATTTGAAAAATCTTGGGAAAAGGAATGTACACGCAGTGATGGAAAAAATCCTTCCTTATTAAGAGCTCTTAATCGTACTTTTGGTTTCAAGTTTTGGATTTCGGGCATTTATCGTTTTTTGAGTGATACCTTACAAGTTGCATCACCTTTATTTGTTCAGGTACAATTTTTGTCATTTACTGCGGTTCCCATCACGTGAAATTTAGGGATACTATAATATTTTTCATTAATTTTATTAATTTTTTATAGCTATTATTGAAATTTGCTCAAGAATCGTGGATGAACAAAGATAATCGGGAAGCTTCTCCTAATTCATCCACCGGATTCTTATATACTGTAATCATATTCGTATTGCAAATGGGCTCAACATTTTTTGTCAATTTATACTTTTACAGTTCCATGGAAGTAGGTTTTTTGGTTAGAACTGCAATGATCACTGCAATTTATCGCAAGGCTATGGTACTAAGTGGAAAGGCACGTAATGCATTTACCACGGGAAAAATAACGAATTTGATGTCAACCGATACTACGCGTCTTGATTTTGTCAGCGGTTACTTTCACGTGTTATGGGCTGCGCCAATCCAACTTTGTATAGCCCTCGGCATATTGATTAAATACCTTGGCCCTTCAGCCTTGGCGGGATTTGGATTTTTATTTATAATGACCCCATTTCAAGGAAAAGTTATGCGTACTTTGGGAAAAACGCGCTCAAAAGCCGCCAAAATTACCGATGAACGCGTAAAGATTACTCAGGAAGTTTTACAGGGTATTCGAGTTATTAAATATTACGCATGGGAAGAAAGTTTTTTGGAAACGTTGAATAATTTAAGGGATAAAGAAATGGGTTACGTTAGATTATTATTGAGCATGAGAGCTGGTATCACTGGTGTTACTCTAGTCATCCCGGTGTTTGCAAGTATAATAGCTTTTATAGTGTATTCGCTTTCTGGAGGAGAACTTAAAGCGGAAGTTATATTTCCTTCTTTGGCTTTGTTTAATATCATGAGATTGCCTTTAATGTTTTTGCCCATGGTAATTGCTGCAGTCACCGATGCTTGGGTATCTGTGAAACGTATTCAAGAATTGTTCGTGGCCGAACAATTGGATTATTTACCAAAAGTTAATCCAGATGGGGATTATGCCATTAAAGTAGATGATGGTGAATTCATTTGGGAAAGTGCTCCTCCTGAAATCTCATATAATAAAGGCAAGAAAAAGCATAAGAAATCAAAGATATCAACTAAAAATAAGGAAAAAAAAAATGAAGATAAAAAAGAAAATGTAAAGGGAGATAATGAGACGGCAAATGTTTCAATCATAACACCCATGGATTCTGCAGAACACATGGCAAATGTCACAACACTAACTCCTTACTCACACCTTCGAAACATAAATCTTTCAATACCTCGTGGTAAATTTGTTGCCGTTGTAGGAACTGTGGGTAGCGGTAAATCATCTTTGCTGTCAGCGTTAGTTGGTGAAATGAAAAAGGTACACGGAGAAATTGAATTTGGAGGGAGTGTTGGATATTGTCCTCAAACTTCTTGGATTCAAAATGCAACTCTGAGAGATAACATTATTTTTGGTTTGCCTTTTAATGATGAAAGGTATCATAAGGTTATTAAAGATTGTTGCCTAGAACCAGATTTGGCCATGTTGCCTGATGGCGATTTGACTGAGATTGGAGAGAAAGGAATTAACCTGTCAGGGGGGTGAGTATATATATAAATAATATATGTTTATGATGTAATAATATATTAATATGTATTTATCTATTTGAAAAAAAAACTTTCAGTCAGAAGCAACGTGTCAACATAGCTCGCGCAGTTTACTATGATGCAGATATCGTGTTGTTAGATGATCCTTTATCGGTATTTATGAAGTTATTTTGATATTGTTTTCTTAAAGTGTATGAATTTGAAATTATTAATATTATTTCTTTTTTTTTAGGCCGTAGATTCACTTGTTGGAAATCATCTTATTACAAATTGCATTAAAGGCGCTCTTAAAGAAAAAACACGTATCCTTGTCACTCATCATTTACACGTGTTGCCTCAAGTGGATTATGTTATTTGTATGGAGAATGGTAAAATAGCAGAGCAAGGTACTTATGAAGAATTAATGAGGGATGGAAAAGCATTTGCAAAATTAATTGAAGAATATGGCGAAGCTGAAGCGGAAGAAGAAATTGATGTTGAATCAGCAGATGAAAAAGTAGTTAAAAAGGAAATGAGCACGGGTGTCGTTGCACCTGTAAAGGCTTTAATGACCACAGAAGAACGCTCAACTGGTTCGGTTGATAACACGGTTTATTTTGCTTATGTGAGAGCTGCAGGAGGATATTTGTTATTACCTCTTCTTTTTTTTTTACTCGTAATGATGCAAGTTACTAATATTGGGTATGTTCATTACATTTTCTTAAATATGATACAATGAACTATGAAATTAACATTACGTGATTTTTAACTTTTTCAAATATATTTATATATATATATAGAAACAATTTATGGCTATCTTTTTGGATAAGTCAAAAGTTTAATAATATGTCAAAAGAAACATATGTAAGTATTTTTATCGAAATTTTCACAATGTAATCTTTGATGTTTTATTTATTTTTCTTCATTGGATTATCAGATGGGAATTTATTTGGCATGGGGAATTTCTCAGGGCATTTTCAGTTTGTTAGGTGGTCTAATTTTCTCATATGCTGGTTCTAAAGCTGCAAAAACTTTACATAGAAATTCTATTAAAAGAGTTTTACGAGCTCCAACTAAGTTCTTTGATACAACTCCGTTAGGAAGAATTATTAATCGGTAAGTTTGGAAGATATTTTATTTGTATTCCTTCTGAAAAAGTTAGTCATCAATGAGTTATATTAATCGTTGAATTCTATGATACAGATTTAGTAAAGATATTGATACATGCGACAATTTACTTTCTGACACTTATCGCATGTTCCTTAGCACTCTAACGTCTGTGATTGGAACATTTATTTTAATCAGCATTATATTCGTATACTTCCTTATTCCTTTGGTTCCGCTTTTGGCATTATATTACTTTGTTGCTATATATTATCGATCCACAAATCGTGAATTGAAACGTAAGGATAACCATATAAATTGAAAGATTTTTTAAATTTTCTTATTCAAATTAATTTTGCTATTCTAGGTCTTGATTCCGTTTTGCGTTCATCTCTTTATGCACATTTCTCGGAGTCATTAACGGGGTTACCTACGATTCGAGCTTATCGTGAACAAGATCGATTTTTAAGGTTTGTTTTATCTTTAAATGATATTGTTTGTTCCATAAATTTATTTATGATATAATTCACCCGAATATATTTTGAATTGATAGAACGAATGAGCAATTTGTTGATATTGAAAATAGGGCGTACTTCCTTATAATCGTTGTCCAACGTTGGTTGGGTATTCGACTTGAATCAATTGCAAACACATTAATATTCTTTACAAGTTTATTTTCTGTTATTGGAAGATATAACGTAAACCCTGCGATTATTGGTTTGGTATTAACTTATGCACTTCAAGTTACTGGTACTTTCAACTGGTGTGTCAGGCAATTTGCTGAAGTGGTAAGTCAATGTTTTACTTTATCTATTCGATTAAAAAATCTTTCCGACCTTTATTTAAAAACGTTCCTTTATTTTATATATATCAGGAAGCGAATATGAATGCTGTAGAACGTCTTGTATATTATTCAGAATCACTGGATGTTGAAGCTGAACCAATAATTTTAGATCATAGACCACCGTCAGAATGGCCCGTTAAAGGAGAAGTACACGTTAAAGATTTGGTGATGTCTTATGGACCTGACCTTCCACCCGTCCTAAAGGGAGTTACATTTGATATCGTCCCATCAGAAAAAGTTGGTATTGTTGGAAGAACTGGTATGTGAACATTACTATTCATTTGCTATTATACATATAAAAAAAAAAATTTCAAATTTCAAATTTCAAATTCTTAATTTTTTTTTTTTTTTTAAAAAAAAATAAAATAAAATAAAATAAAATAAATAAATAAATATAGGCTGTGGTAAATCAACATTAGCGACATCTTTCTTTCGATTTATTGAACCAATTTCAGGAAAAATTGAATTGGATGGCATTGATATTACTACCATCGGTCTTAAAGATCTTCGAAGCAAAATCACTATTATTCCGCAAGATCCCGTTTTGTTTAACGGCACGTTAAGGTATTTTTTGAATGATCTTAAATGATCTTATTTATTATATTTCGTAAGATGAAAAAAAAAATTAAACAATTTTATTTATTAAGGAGCAATTTGGATCCTTTCAAAGAGCATGATGACGCAACATTATGGAATTCACTTCGAAGAGCTCACTTAATTCAAGATGATGTAGATAATGAAAATACAGATTCCACATTTACCGAATCGTTAAACGAAAAATCACCCGTGACAAATGTTTCGGTACCACAACAAAGCAAACAAGAAGCTTTGACACTTGATTCACCTGTCAACGAGAATGGAAGTAATTTTTCACAAGGTCAACAACAATTAATAGCGTTAGCAAGAGCATTAGTACGACATTCTAAATTAATTATAATGGATGAAGCAACAGCTAGTGTGGATTTTAAGACTGATCATTTAATTCAAACTACAATAAGAGAAGAATTTAAAGATTCGACGGTATTAACCATTGCTCATCGATTAAGAACCGTTGCTGATTATGATAAAATTTTAGTCATGGGTATGTGTTTTTTTATGTTTTCCGTTATTCTGTGATAATAATATATCTTTTAATAATTTTAATAATATGATTTTGTTATTCCAATAGATGCTGGAAATATAATAGAATACGATATACCATATATATTATTGCAAAAACCTGATGGAATATTTAGGGGAATGTGTGAAAGAAGTGGCGAACTTGATGAATTATTAGAAGTTGCTAAAGAGAAATATGAAAGAGATCAAAAAGAAAAAGATCAACGAAAAACGTGAAGTTTTAAAATCTTTAATTAAAAATATATTATATGTAAAATATTGATATTTAGACTAGGAGATTCAAACTTACCGATGCCGGCCTGTCTCTAACAAATCTATAATTTTAACGATTTAATAATTTACAATAAATTCACTGTAAAATTAGTAACACTATCAAACCTGATGTGAAGAAAAAGGTTAAGTTGAAATGTAGAATAAGACTTCATTTCTTGTAAATTCTTATTAACTCAAAAGACTTTTATTACAAAATTCTGTCGACGACAAAGATGAATTACAGATTCTTTTATACAAAATCATATTACAAACATTAATATAATGAATTAATAATAATAAAGAAGTATATAAAAAAAAAAGTATATAAAAGATATAAACTAAATAAACTGGATAAAATGTTTACATGAATGACGAAACGTTTTTAAAATCTCACTGTGGGTTAGTTAAGGAGATTTAATATATTAATAATTAGTATTAGTATTACTACGAATATGAATCAAATTACATACACTATTAATGTTCTCAATTAGATTTTATGGATGCCTTTCTAATTAATTAATTTATCCACGAAAATCACTCAATATGCTTTACTTTTTAAAACCTTTGTAACAGCATTCTTAATAATAGAAGCAGCCTTTTCAATTTCTTTTTTAGTAAAACCAGCACTAATGCAAATTCTAATGCTTGGTTCAACTCCAAATAATTCTTGGGATCTGGCATATTTAGCTCTGGTTAATAAAACTCCATTGTTTATAGCCTATATTTTTTTAAAAATTTCAATGATAATTTTCAAAAAAAAAAATTTTTTAAAAGTGAAGAAAAAGTTAATTACCTCGTCAACAATGTCTTGCAAGCATCTCTCTTTATCTTGTATATCACCAACTCTAATTATTTCTTCATTAATCCTAAGATGTATAACAGGAGAATCCTTTGAACAATTTAATAACAAATATTTAATATTAATTAATAATTGTTTAAATAATATTGTATTTTGATTGATTGTTAATGTATATTGCGGATTTTGTTTCAATATATTTAACGATTCCGATGCCGAAACTGTCAACATTGCTGGTAATGATGCTGAATAACAATATGCCAGTCCTGAAATTCTCTGTATAACAAAGAGTAGAAGTTAAGAAAGGTTAATTATATAAAGAAAATAAAAGCTTAACTTTTTTTTTTATAAAGTCATACCTGATGTTCAGTGATTTCGAATGATCCAGAACAAAAACCTCCAGACGAACATAAAGCGTTACACATTGATCCAACAATCATGTCGACGTCAGTTGGCTATAAATAATAAAATTAACAAATAAATTTTGGGGGATCAGAATTTACATACATAAATTTTACATACATCTATGTCAAAATAATCAGTTAAACCAGCTCCACGCTTTCCCATAATACCGAATGATAAACTTTCATCAAGAATAAGTCGATATTTATATAGTTTTTTTAATTCAACCTAAAAAAAAAAAAAAATTCAATAAATTAAATATGGATAAAACTAATTTATATATACTAAGAAAATGGTCATATACCAATTTAGGTAAAAGAGCAATATCACCATAATTCTCGAATATTCCTTCGGATATAATGAACCTTCTTGTCAATCTTCTTCCAGTCTAAAATAAATTATTTTTTTTTTTTAAAAAAATCAAATATTTCATAACCAAATTTATCAAATTGTTTGAAGAGTATATATTTAAACCTCAATATCTTCATTTTTAATTTTTTTCAAAATTTTTTCTAAATCTTCCATATCGTTATGTTTATACCATTTAATAACTGATCTAGAAATTTGTACACCTTTTTGAATAGCAAAATTACATCCATCGTCGCTACAAAATTAAAATAAAATAAATTATTACTTGATTAAAAAATAAATAAATGTATATATCTTTTTCTAAGATTTCTATGGCTCACACTACGATAATATCGCCCCTTTTACAAAATGATGGTATAGCTGAACTTATTGTCGAAAATCCTTGAGAATATATTATAGTATCCTCTGTTCCAAGAAATTCCGAAACTTTCTTTTCAAAATCCGTATGTACATCTAATAAAATAAATGAAATAATGATTTAGTAATATATTTGAAAGAAATTTAGATTTTAAATTTAAAGTAATCACCAAATGTTCCATAAAATCCCGGCGGACCACAGGATCCAACACCATACTTTTTAAGTGTTTCTATAGCCTTTTCCTGTAATATATAAATTAATTCAATAAAACAAATTATATTAAATTGAAACTTTTTTTAATTAAAATAAATTAATAATTACCTTGATAGTAACATTAGTTAGCAATCCCAAAAAATCAAAACTTGAAAAGTTCATTAAGGATTTACCATTTAATAATTTTACTTTTAGCCCTTGAGGTCTGAAAAAAAAAAATTTGATTATTAAAAAATCAACAAAATGTACCACGTGGCACATGGTGAGAAGTTTGATACAAACCCTTTAATTACAGGAATTTTTTCTAATTCTCTTTTTTCATCATCTGAAAGTGGTGATACAAGAGGTTCAGGTTGCCATTCATCAACCAATTCTTCGACTTCCTAATTATATACATTTTTTGAATGAATTCCTTTAACATATATATATTTAAAATTTATTTAATTATTTAAAATGTAACGTACTTGAGGAGTTAATTCAATAAAATTTGTATCAGTTCTATACTTATTAGTAAATAAATAAATTATTGCAAAGAATACTAATAATAATTCTAAAGCAGTTCGAAAGGGATCATCTTGGTGAGAATTTTTAATATATTTCAAAAGAATTCCTGATCCTGGTATGCGTGAATAATATATTGATATCTGTGTTAATGTTGTATTCAAAAATACGAATAATTCATTTAATGCTGGATATGCCGTCTCCATTGTCTCCATTGTCTCCATCGAAACTTTTTTAAGAAAAACGAAACAGAGTGTGAAAAAAAATATATTTAACGTTAATGTCGTGTGGCATTGTGTGTAACGATTTTCATCAAAATTTAGACTTTCATATCCTTTTAAATACTATTAGATAATGAGATATTTATTATGATAATAGTATAAGTATATGAGTTATAAATGATATTATTTATAAAATTTACTATCAGCTAAATATTTTAAATAAACAAAATAAAGTATTATTGATTAGATTTATAAATATTTAAATAATAATTATTTATATAACTATTTAATTTATATTTAAATATTTACTATACTTATTATTATTATTACTTTGAAAAATTTAATAACTGCTATAAGTTTAAATAAATTACGTACAAAAACTACATTTAACTTTCGTGCGATTTTATATTAAAATAATTTTATACACCATTAATAGTTAATAATTTGGAAGCTTTGTTAGGACAAGGTTCTAAAGCGTATTGCCCCCTTTTCCTAGCATATTTTCCATTTAATAATTAATGGAATTATTAATCAAATTAAATAATAGTAATAGTAAATTTTATAGTTTATATATAATGAATATTCTAATTTATGATAATTTAGAATTCTCTAAGAAATTTTATTTTTATTTTTATATGATCATTCAATGATCAGTATGGGTTTGTGTGTAACGCATGAGAAAACAATATGAATTTTGCGGCAAAATTGCGCGTGACCTCATGTTTACTAATGATCTAAACATTTTCAAAGGTTACTCGTAATTTTTAACGATCCTTTTTGACAGTTTAAACTTAAAAACATGATCAATAAAATCCTTTTACTCCCTTTACTCGCATGCAAAATTTTCATAATTATATGTTCCGCAACATCAAACACACAAGTACACTTCAGCATTGACAACGCCAACAAGTTACTACCCTCACAGATAGTTACAAATATATCACAATGTCCAAAATTAACGCCCCGAAAAGTTCCACCAAAAAGTGTTCATGATTTACGCGTTGACGATATTGAAATCATAATGGCATTAGGTGATAGTATTACGGCAGGATTCGGAGCTAAAGAACAAAATCCTAAAAAACCAATTGATTTTCATAAATTTGATGAAAATCGTGGAGTAAGTTTCGTTATGGGAGGTGATCCCGGTGCTGTCACTATCGCCAATTTTATAAAATATTACTCCCCTTTATTGAAAGGACCTTCCGTCGGAGATCATTTAGTTGAACTCTGCTATGGTAATTATTGATTTAAAAAGTTTAGTCATTAAATTTTATTCATTGTGACTTTGAAAAAAGTAAACCGTTCCTTTTATATATAGGCATTGTATGTCCACCTTTTCAGTATAAACCTGAACAGGACAGACTAAATGCGGCACAATCAGGGATGATGGCGTCAAATCTTACAATGGAATTAATTTATTTATTAAAACAACTTTATAAAGAACCGATACAAGATGTATTAAAATCATATAAATATCTCAATTTGTTTATTGGATCAAACGATATTTGTTTAAGATGTTCAAATAAATTACCATGGCTATCAATAGAACAATTTGAAAATTATTTGTTAACCACGTTGGAAATAATTCGAGAAAAGATACCGAATACAATTATAAATCTTTTGGGTGTATTTAATGTTTCTCAGGTTTATGAATTAACGCGTGATGAAAAATATTGTAGATTGCGACGTGTTATCGGGGATTATGAATGCTCTTGCGCATATATGCCAGGTAATTTTCTTTTTAAGGAGGAGATCCTTTATAAGAATTTTTTTTTTTCTCTCTAAAAAAGACTTTTTTTTTCTGCAGGGGCTTTGGGGGACCTTAACAGAAAGAAAATGGATGAAACCGCAATGGAATATAATAAAGCGATTCAAAATGTTGTAAATTATTATGCTTCAAAACACAGTGATTCCTTTGCCGTAATGTATCAACCATTTGATTTGGATTTGTTAACTTTTCCTGTTGATGGTTTAAGTAGTCTAGATTGTTTTCATCCCAGGTATAATTGATATCATTATGTTTCCTTTTTTTACTGTATTGTTGCTTATATCATATTAACGAGTTCTTTATAAATATATATATAGTTTGAAATCTCACGAATTTATTGCCAAAATATTTTGGAATAATCTCGTACTTCCTTCAAGCAAGCGTGGTGGGCCTATCGTGTGGAATGATAATGTTGGCATTAGATGTTTTGAAGATGATGATCGCATTAATACAAAATTGACTTAAGCTATCATGAAAGCTTTTAAGAACCATTCATTATGATTGTGTGCAAAACGAAAGATTTCATTTAAGTAAATTTTTTTTTTAAGTGGGACAATTAATAAACACGTTTTCAATCTTTTTTTTTAAAACATGAAATCCTATCGCTAAGAGTATTATTGAATAATAATTTACGATCCTAATCTCTGACCTCTACCCCAACTATGTCTTGTTCTGTCAGTTGAACTTTGTTGTTGAACTCTCTCGCCAGGATTTAATATAGCACCAAATGAGGTTCGTAATCCACCACTGGATGTATTCACAGGAAACCAATTATATAACCATTGTGGGGTGTTAAGAAATCTCGTACCACCACTCGCGGGATATAGTTCTTTTAGATAATAATATAAATGACCTGTGATAATTCCTATTATTGATGCCCATGGCAATGCCCCACCCATTTGTAATGCTTCAAATGCCAATAACACATACGGTAAATATACTCCCTATAGATCAGGAAAATTTGAAATCAAATGTTAGAACAAATTACAAATTTAATAATGATAAAATCACGTCAAGTTTACCTTGAATCTTAGACCAAACATAAAGGTTACCATGACGTCCTTGAATAATTGAGCCCATATATATGTAATCGCCATTACTAAACTTTGATTAAATAATACCAACCCCTTAATAATTCCTCCTATTATCTAACAAATAATAATTAAGAGTTAAGAATAATGTCTGATATATATATATCGAAATCTTTTTTTCAATACGATGATTCGTAACGTAAAAAAGATCATCGAATTATATCCTTTAATTTCATTATATCCCCTATTGTAAACCGAACAATTTATTGAACAAAAAAAAAAAAAAAAAAAAAAAAGAGTTCGGGCAGAAGTAGGGACAAGAGATACGCGACTTTTTTAAGATAATTTTATAGAATATTTTTTTTTTTAAAAAAAAAAAAGGATACGAGTATTGTCAGAGCTTCAAATAAAAGAAAGAAAACATAATCCGCAGTGATCCCCAGAAATTTTTCGGTTTCCACCTCTTTAGAATATCGATACAAAAAGAATAATTGAATTGCTCCATTGAAATTTAAAGAGTAAAAGAAAAATGACGTGTAAAGTCTCCATATCTATTGAATTTGATCACAATCATTATCTAGTAAACATGAAGAAGTTTACTTGAAGAGGAAAGATACGTACCTGGAAATGACCAAAAGCCAATTCAGGGAAAAAGAATAAATATGGGGTAATTTTACCTATATTACCCAATACTGTTATCAAGATAAAACTTGTAAATAAAAATCTTGTACATATTGGTATTTCTTTATACCATGCTACCAATTCATTTTGTGGTTGACGTTGCAGTGGCGGCTGTCCATTCATTTTTTTTTCCTCGCTTTTGATTGTGAAAAAGTATAATGAAAGGGAAACGGAAAAAATCTCGATTTGCCAAAAATTGCTAAACTAATACTTATTTTGGAATCAGATGACGTGTTAATAACTTGTTCGTTGATTATCTAATAACACGTATTTTTTTTTCGGTATAAAATATTGAATTAACGTTCTCACTTCAAAATACCAAGGTCACAATGAGAATGGTAAATACTTGTTCCATACCTATAAAAACCACGGTTACCTTATTTATTTTTGAAGTTGTTAAGAAAGACGCGTTGATATTTACAAGATTCTAATTGAGATCTCTTTTTTTTATAAAAAAATTTAGCTTAATCAAGAGGAAGAAGTTGACGCAGAAGTAACATGGGAAGACCAACAGAAAATAAATTCTTTTAGTAAATTGAATGCGAAATATTCTGATCTTGAAGAAACTTATAATGCAAAGAAGGTTATTAGACTCGTTTGTTACTATTGATTAATACAACTATTAATATTCTCTCTCTTTTTGTCGAATTAAATCATTTAGCAAGAAAAAGAATTTCTTGATGATCTAACTAGTGAACTTGAATTAGCGGATAAAGTTGAACTTATCAAGTCAGTATTTGAAAAATCAAATCAATTTTTTTTTTTAAAAAAAAAACAAATTCACATAATGATTAAATAATCATTTTTGTAAAATAGGTATAAAATAGGAGAATCATTTATTAACATTCCAGCGGAACAAGCAATAGAACGTATAGAGAAGGATAAAGAAATTTTAATACAAGATTTAGAACAACTCAAGCATAATATGGATGATATGACTGATCAAATGCGTCAATTAAAAGCTCATTTATATGGAAAATTTGGTAAAGCGATTAATTTAGAAAAGGATTAATCATTATTTTATTCAGAACTTTTATATATTTAACTCATTATAAAGAATGTAGTAAAAGGATTTATAAAATTTAATATCTTTTAATTTCTTTATATACATGATACATTATCTCAAAAAATGATAACATGCATTGAGCGTTATTAACGTTAGAATCATGATATATTTTATTTGTTTAATTAATCAAATTTTTGAGCATTTGAAAATTTTTTTATATAATAAAATTATTCCAACCAATTTTATATAGTGCGATTGACTCGTGATCGGCTGAGCGAAAAAATTCTTAATGGCACCTTTCGAAGAGAGTTTTGGTTTTTACTTAAAAGGCCATAACATGTAAGATTAAAAAAAAACAATCATATAAAGAATTATTAATTTCATATAAATTATTTATCTTCACAAAGGATTTGAAGATGATGTAACACCCAAGAATATCCGCAGTCAACTTCTGATCCGGGTCACATGAAATAAATACTACGCGAAATTTTCTAACAACTGATTCAATCACGAAATCTCTTTGTTTTCTTTTTTTTTTAATCAAACGATACATCGAACCTTTCACAATCGAAATTAGAAATATCAAATTCCGATATAAAGGCATTTCGTCCAAATTACCTAAATATGGTAACATTTATATCGTAATCATTATCGATATCGAAAATTATAAAAAGATTTTGAAAAGAAACATTTAACAAGCAATGTCTATGTAAATCAACATATAGTATAGTATAGTAAAAGGGAGAGTTGTTTGTTAATTGAAAAGTTATCCAAGGGCAAAAGAATTCATTCACATGTAAGATTAAACAACAATCATAAAGAATAATCATACAATATTTATTTTCACAAAGGGTATGAAGCTGATCCTATTGAAGTTTCGAATTTAATTAATTTGGTATTCCAAAACAAAATACAAAATTGAATTATTCTATGTCCCCGCAGTTCGTCTTCTGATCCGAGTCACATGAAATAATAATACGCGAAAGTTTTAAACAAATAAATATTGTAAATCATGGATCATTAAAATCTCTTTTTCTTTCTTTCTTTTTTTTTTTTAACCTTACAATTTTTCTCCGAAAATCCGGATCAAAAGATAACTCCGAACCTTTCACAATCGAAATTTAGAAATATAAATTCCGATTTTGCACCGACTTGATAATACAAGGAAGGCATTCGTCCCAATCACCTAAATATAGTAATTTTTCATATCGTAATCATTTTTCCGATACAGAAAAAAGATTCCTAAGAGATTAGAACATTTAACATGTAATTTCTATGTAAATCCTCATATAGTAATTCATATGGTAAATGTATGAGTATTTCAAGTTTAGCTGGTCTAAAGTGACACTGACACGGAACCTTTTGATTAACCACATGTAATTCTTTTCTCCTTTATTAAACATTATGAAATGTTTAACAAATATTTCATACTACAACGAAAAATAATTTTTAACTGCATTGCTTTAATTGCATTAATTTGGAACACCTTTCACCAAAAACATCAATAAAATCCATTCTAATAATAAACATTCATTCATTCATTCAAAATAAAAGATAAAAAGATAACAAAATAGATAAAAATATAAGAGAAATTAGTAACAAATTCTTTGTTGGCTCAAATCTATTTATTTAAAAATTATGTACATTCTTTATGCTTTGTGATTTTGATCATGAGATCGATTTAAAGAAAAATAGATTTGCACAAGTTTGTAATTTGTAAAAATTGTATATTTATGCACAAAAAAAACGAGAAAACAACTAAACTGTGCATGATATATTTAATTTAAAATAGTTGATGTCGTACCAATCAATCTTCGTTTGGCGGTTTTGGCGGAAAATTTGGTACAACAAACATCATTTTATGAGCGCTCGTAATAGGTGAAAAAGGTGACATGATTTATAATAGTATCTCAGAAGTCTTTATACTTCATTTCAGTAAAGAAAATTGACCAAAAAGGAAACTTTTATCAAAGCCATTTGGCGGAGAAGTTAAACAAAACTCATTTATGCTTAATTTATGCTTAAATGCTCAAAATAGATTGATAATGAAATATATGGAATCTAATTGTTTTTTTGTTTTTTCTAAAAAAATAAAAAATAAACAATAAAATTAATAAAGTAAAAAGAATAAAGAAATAATCATCATCATTTTAATTTCTAAAAGTAACAAAAGTAACTTTCACATTTTGTTTTACACCGAAAAATTCAAAAGAAAAAAGATCAAAATATGGATCAAAAGTTTCTGTGATAAACTTGATAACGATTAGAACGATTAGTTGATTCAGAATTTAAAAAAATAAAGGGTTTATTATAGTATACAACATTAAAACATTTTACATTGCGGATGTGTAATAAACATGAATCGACTTATTGAAATTCGCGTATAACAGTATAATACTCATCATCTCTTTTTCAAATGTAGTGCTCCTACACAATGTTTTTTGGCGTGATGATCATGATTTGATCATTCCGTTACTTTGTTACTTTTGAAAATACAACTCCTTCTATTAAAGGGCAATCTATTTAATAGTAGTGCGCGTCACGCGTGTATTAAAGTATGGTACAAGTTTTTCTTGTTATCTTTTTGGAAGGTGATTCACGTGAAAAAAATTGATTGGTGCGAACCCTTCCGTTAGAATCACAACTAAATCGGTAAAAGGATAACTATCGTAGGAATCACCAGTTCCTTGGCCAGCATTATCATTGAATTTAATTTAAAATAGATCAATTGATGGCGTCTCGGTTAAAAGCAAATGAGGTAGACGGGTAAGACATAATGATAAAAATCCGTCAATAAAAAGACCACCTTTCTTTGATAGAACACACTTTTAGAATGCATGAAATATTAAAGAACTTAAATAAATCCTGCATTTTGCTCTGAGGAGAACCCATCATGAGAAAATTGATGTACCATGGTTGTACCACATGAAACCATTTATTAATATATTTTTTTTCACAACATCAAAAAATACTTGTGAATTTATTTTTAATGCAATGTTTAAGAGTCACCTTTTTTTTCTTTGTTCAAACAAAAAATGAAAGATACTAATCAAAATAATCAAATCGTGTTACGTGATGCGAGCTTTACTTAACCCGTAACTCTCATTTTAATGATAAGAAATCGTACAATTCTTGTTAAGAAAATTTATATTGATTTTTTTGCCAACAATGAAAAATTGTAAGATTCCTTTTTGGTTATGATCATGAAAAAAAGAAAAATTCATATGTTTATTCTTTGATTGAATGACAGAAAGAGAATGGGTGATTTTTTGAGAATTTTAATCTAGTATTTTAAGAGTAATTTGGCTTTTTTTTTTCGTTATCGGGTTTGGTAAAAAGATTAGAAAAATGATTTAATATAACGTTTTCCTGTTTACATCCGATTAAACTAATAAAAATTTTTCCTCATTTTTTGCTTTGGTCACATTTAAAAATCGTCATTTTATTATGTCATCGTGTTCAAGATAGATAGTGATAACAACCCCCTCATGAAGACCAAATTTACCCGTATTTATCTTCAAAATAAACTTATGATTTTTAAAGTTCATTTTTTTGGAACATTCATCTGAAGTGATAACAATAAAATAGTGCATTATCTATAATCATTATCATTGATTCATCTGAAATCTATTGAGAGAATAAAAAAACGCCCCCATAAAATTTTTTATTTAAATGAATAAAAACTTTAAATTTAAAAAACCGCAGTATTTATGAACGTGAGAATTGAGAGAATTCTCAAAACGTTCCCCTTCATCATTTTTATCCAATAATAATGCAAGAAAAAAAAAAGAAAGAATACTTTTTTTTTAATTAATAAAACACAATGAACCATTTTCCACTACTTACAGAGTTTACATTCATAAGTTGAGCATTGTTTAAAAAAAGTTTGTGTTTGAAAATATAGATAATTGTAGCACGATTATACTTGCCCAATGTGATCATTTGCATAATGCATTTCCTGTAACGATAAAATTGCTAAAAAAGCTAAATTAAAAAGGGTTTCTGAGTGGATTCATAAAAAGGAATAAATCTGTAAGAGAAGCATTTATTGACTGCCTTACTTGTGACCTAAGTAAATGCGCTGCCTATGTGGGAAAATTGGCATTCAAACACACATGCTTGTTGTTTTCTATCATGAGAAATTAGAAAATCTATCGTCATCATTGGAAATGCTAACAAATTAAATGATTTACTGGATTATTAAGCGCCATTATCACCGAATTTTTTTAATGCAAAGGATAGTATATTCTAGTAAATAAGACGGACCCTTACATTAGCTCGTTTTTTTTTGTTTTTTTTCTCGAAATACTTAATTTAGCATTTCAGTACAATACGAATTTAAGTCCGGTGTTTTAAAAATATAATCATCTTCGTCTAAAAGATGTGTAATATTTGCTTCTGTCATTTTGTTTTTGAGAGAGATCTACATTGCATTCATCCATTGCATACATGGAAATACATCCATTCAACTATTTTGCTATATCCTATTTTTGGAAATCTAATTATTTTTAATGAAATACCTTTTTAAATAAAGTAAAAATCCAATGGTTCATTATTATTTCCTTTTTTAAATACGATATGATGATTTATTTTGCAATGACAACATTTTTTAGCTCAATTATTATTTTTCAAAGAACGAATGCTCCCTTGGATCTTTTTTACTAGAAAATTTTAAGAGAACCCGTAATTGCAAACGGTTTAAAAAAGGAAAGATGAAAAATCTATTATTAATATTATGTTACTTAATTTAGACCAGATGTGTTGTTTCTAAAAATTGGGCTGTGCATCAATTAGCCAATGACCGAATGATTGCTGTTAAGTGTTAGATTATTTTCTTTTTGTTCGAGGGGGATTTCGTTTGAATAAATATATTTTTTTGTCTTAGCTTCAGGTTGGGAATCTCGAAAAAGACCCATGTTTCAGGGCTCATTTTTTTTTTGTAAACAAAACCTTTCTTTGTGAGTCAGAGTTACTATTGATACTATTTTTGGTAGGAAGGTTATGAGGTAAAATTTTCCATACACTACCCTTTTTTTTATTAGTTCTATTTGTTTATAAAGAAAATAATGGTCAATTCTCTTTATGACACCCTTCACCCTTTTACACAACATATTTATTTAATTTCAAATGATAACGCTAACCTTGTTTCTAGTTTTCCAAATTAAAGATTATTCATTCCTAATTGTTTTTTTGCAGATAAATGAATTTTAAACATTGTTAATAGGGGGAGGGAGGAACATTGTGAGACAGCTTCGGATCGGTTGGGCATGTGATTCAAAATGGAAAATCCGTAAAAACTGATATATATATATATTATATTTATTTGACAGTCAAAAGCACATATATTCGGATGATAAGTCAACTATTACCATAATTGGTACGGTATGAATCCGTGTAGCAACAACAAAGGTACCAGGATTTGCAACAAATAACCAAAAGTCACGATCTGCGACGCACAGGAAAAAGGAACTTTAACCAAATCCGATTTCTTACTAGAATTTTTTTTTTTGTTGAACCCTTGATCATTTAAATCATTTATATCACAACAAATAATAAAATGGTAAAAAATGGGTGGTTCCCTGAAAATTTGTTTCCTCCTTTCCCCTTTTTATCAATATCAATATCAGTAAATATTTAGGGTTTACACGTAAACCGCATCCTCTCACGTGAAAAATAGTGAACGCAAAAAGATTTTTTTTTTTTGGAAAAAAAAAAATAACGTTTTCGCTACTACTTTGTAATTAAACGTCAAACTTTCTTTCCATTAAAAGCTTAACCCCTCTTTTTTGTCATTTCCTTATAAATTATTTAATCATCTCCTTTTAGATTATATGTGCGTATAAATTTTATTTTACTTTATAATTTTATCAACCATCAAGATTATGCAAGATAAGATTATATTGATAATATCTCTTATAATAAATTAAATCTTTACTTAAATAAAAACTGCCAAATTTTTAAATGATCGAGTCCAATCTATAAATTAAAATAAAAAAAAGTTAATTTTTATTATCTTCATCTTCATAATGGTTTTTTACGCCCCAAATATATATATCTTATCGTTAGGAATCTTTGAAAACAAACCATTTTTGTGATTGACATGACGATTAAAAAGGATAAAGAATCGAAAAAGGTAAATTTGGATGACTTGTCTCATATTTGTAATGGTTTCGGTCGTTTCGGGTTGCGATACGTTGGTAATCACTTGAAAATTGAGGAAGGTTTGAGAGAAATTACCTGGACGATGGGATAGAGATAGATTTTGATTGGTCAATCAAAGAGAGGCTTATATGAGGCAAAGCCCAATTAAAATGGAGTGGCAAAGCACCGTGTCGTGTATGAAAACATTGTAAGGGGAATGAGTAATCATTGTAGGGGGTATGAATGAATGGAATGTAATTATCACCTAATTGAATCCATTTTATAACATTTTGAAACAAGATTCTCACTTTTCAACGAACGAGACGAATAAGAAAAAATGGATTCTTATAATTTATTATATTTTTTTTTCAGATAAGATTAAAAAATGCTTAGAACACAGAGTACAGGAACTATTGCGCAGTACACATAAATGTTTTATTTATATGTGTTTGAAAATGATAAATATCTAATAAGCCATGCGGAAGGTCAAGTATAGCATCGGATTGATGATGGGACCTCAATCAATTCTCATGTATTTAATACTTGTATTTACCACTCTTCTAAATTGCTGATCATTATTGAATATGACCCGAGCTAAACCCTAATTATTTTATTTATTTGTATAAATTTTTTGAACCTCTCTTCATTTCAACTAATTATTTTCATTCATACTACAAAAAAGAATTATCTTTTAAAGAAAGGTTGTTCTTGATAAATATGTCAAAAAATTTGACTGTATGAAAGGTACAAATTAGTATTGTAATAATTGATCAACAAATATATATTGTTTGATTTTGTAACAAATAAAAAAAAATTTTTTTTTTATTTACTTTTTATTTTACCTACCTGATTGAATTTCCGAAAACCCCGAAGACAAGTAAATAAAATATAAATTAAATTATCTAAAGAATTTTGGTTTAGTCATACCTGATACATTTTTTATAATAAGAGGGCTTTTTTCTATTTTCTTTTTTTTTTTTTTTTTTTTTTTTCCTCTTAATTTCAAACTAAAAATTAAATTTATCCAACTAGTTCAAAATAAGATTACCCTCTTCTATCTAATCCCTACTAAAAAATCACAGAATTATAAAAAAACAAAAAAAGTTTTTTTTTATTTTTTGTAAATTAAAAAAGAAAAGAAAAATATATATATATATATCATCGTCCTTATTGATTGTTTTAATGTTATTTTCTCACTTAAATACAACCTCCCTTTGATAACACACCTTTTCACACCTTTTGCATAAAAAACTTTCTTAAACGAAAGATTATCTTTTAATTATTTTTTCTCTTTAGAAAAATAAAATGGAGTCTGGATTTACTATATTTTTGTAGAAAATTTTTATAAATAATATATTTTCACTTGGGATTAATTTTCTTTTTTTTTTTATTTACCAACATACAAAAAAAAAAAAAAAAAAAAATAACTCGCCGTTGTTTATTTCTAAAAGAATAACGTGGTTTAATAATAATAATAATAATAAAAAAAACGTCATTTTTTTTTTTGTATATATATGAAAGTCTTGAAGCTCATCAAAAAGTAAAACTATTTTTTAGTTAATATCCAAAAAAAAAGTTTCGTTGAACGAAAGTTATTGGTCAGCCAAAAAAAAAAGGGACTTTATAGACCTTTCTTCTTACTAATAAACATATCTCACCGATAATATTGTTAGACCTTTGAACAATCCTTGACACAAACCAACTTTAATCATGCCCTTTACCTTCTCGCCGGCTTCTTTCTCTTTTCTAAAAAGTTCAACGACCTCACAGTCTATTTCCACTTTTAATATAGAACAACAAAATTATAATGTAGATAATGTAAATAAAAATATTAATCGTAACGGCAAACACAACGATAATGTAGATAATGATAATAATTCAACGAGCTTTTCTTCATTGGAAAATAATGTTAAAATTATTCCATTGGATAGGAGAGTTCGCTCTTTGGAGGGTTCTAACCCACTTAAAAGTAATCGTCGTAGTAGTAATGCTAGTAATCTCACCTCAAAGAATTTTCTTAGAAAACCTTCTTGGTATAAATCAATATTCGCTCGTATACATAACTCGATGTTACGATGGAATGATGATGACGACAATAGAACCATTGTCACTGATAAGACTTGCGGTGACAATAAGGATTCGACTCACGTTACCAACAACAATGATGAGAATGACAATGACAATCGCAACAACGATGCAGTAGAGTGTAAAAATGGTGGAAAGGTTGATGATGACGATGGTGATGATAATGGTGATGATGTTATTCAAATGAAATCGAGTAACCTTGTTGCCGATACGCAAGGGACCGCTTTTAATTCAATAATGCATCATGATTTTTACGATTTGCCTTTATTAAACCAATCTCAAAATCCCAATCCATTACTGTCTTCATCTATTCCTTCATTAACATCATCTGCCAACATCTCTGATGAGAGTGAAGACTCAAAAAGACTTTCTACCTCTTCAGTTTTTGAAAAATACGCTCAAACTCCCCGTCATTTCACAAAAGAAACTGAAGTATTAGGTAAAGTTGGTAGATTTACTATAGTGAGAGAACGTGAAGATTTTGACACCACTTACTTTGATCAATGTCATTGTCAACAAAAACCTTGTCGTTTATCTTTAAATGGTGGTACTCATCCTATATTAGAACCCGAATTATTAGGCCAATTCCCCTTCCCATATCATCATGTCTCTTCTCACCCAATATCCATACCGATGCGACATAACTCATTGAAAGGTGTTGGCGTTAATAATGGTGGTGTTTCTTTACGTTCGTCAACTTATTCTCAACATTTAACGCAACAAGATGCGCAACAATTCGCAACGATCGCTTATCAACAGATGCAAATGCAAATGAACTCGAATAATCGTAATTCCTGCCCTTCAATCTCATCATCAAAGTCTTCTCGTTCTTTTTATTGTCAACATACACCAACTTCCACATCATCAAGGCGTTCCTTACCTTCATTGCAAAAACAAAATGGTGTCATTAATGTTAATAACAATACTAATAGTGCTTGGCCAATGCCTATGCCTATTATCGTTTCAAAAGTTGCATCTGCCGCCGCCGCCTCTCCTTCCGTTTCTTGTCGTGGTGTTTTACCTCAATCGGCCTCCTCCCCTAATCTGGTACATTTACACCAACGTTCAAAAGGTGAAAATATGTGCTACAATAAATCAACAAGAATAAACAGTCGTAATATTAACATTATTATTGGTGGTAAACATTCGAATCCTCAAAGTCATCATGGATCTTACTATTATCCACATTGTCCTTCTTCTGTGAATAGTAATACACCATCATTAATGTTAAAAACAAAAAAATCTTCGTTGATAAATATGAAAGCGACCCAAGAGCAACAACGTAGATCATCAATTCCTCCACCATTATCTCCAACAACTTCAACACCTACAACTCCATCAAAGCTCTCTTTTTCGCATCATCAGACTTCAAACGAACCGCATACTACAATAAACTCTCATAGTGGAAGAAAATTTGAGGTTGAATGGACAACAAAAACAAGTTCGTCTACAAGTTCTACATCTTCCACATCATCGGAAACCGCCTCATCTCCTTCTTCTACCATAAGTAGTTTATTTAGTATGGCTTCAAGTCCTAGTACGAGTGTGAATTCTACTACTAGTACTTTAAGTAGACAATGTAGTACTTTAAGCAGTAAATGTGGTAGAAAATTTGAAGTCACCGTTCTCTCTTCTAATCCATCTAGTAATGGTCTTATAAACACCTCTCCACATAGTACTACCAAGTGTTAAAGTTTCGAGCATGGAGTGGCGCATATGTCATCCAGCGAAGCGTGGGACCGGAGGGGGATGAAAGATGATCACCATCAATTTAAGACTTCTCTTAACAAAAGCATTTAACAAAAAAAAGGCGTTTTTTTATTTTATTTTTTTTTTTTTACCCTTATAATGAAGATGTGAATTTTTTTAGCGCATCAAAGTAGTAATTGATGAATGTCATGTTTGTCTGTTATGATGAAATATTTATGATGGTCTACAATATACATTGTACATCTAGAATGATTATTGTGAGTTATGCTGAAAGAAGTTTATGAGATTGGCATGAGAAGCATACAATTTTTTTTTTTTTCTTTTTCTTTTTTTTTTTGTTTTTTTTTTTTTTTTTAGAAAGTTCACAAATAAAACTAAAACGATTGTCTTTATTTTCGGATACTTTTAATTTTGATTCCCCCCTCCCTTTTTTTTTGTGGTGGACTTTTACGTATAAATCTTTTTATTCTTTTAAAAGTCCTTTTTGTATATAATATTTTCTTTCCATAAAGGTCTTTTAATCAGAAAAAAAATGAATAATTAGGAATATGATATATATATATATATATATATTTATGTATGAAAAACAAAATTTAGAAAATTTGGGCGTTTATAAATGTGTACATATATATATATATTCAATAGCGTGTTTTCCTTATCACACTTTAATATTCATCTTCGTTGAATAATCATAATTTCTTATAGATTGATTTTTCACTCAATAAATTACAAAAAAAAAGAAAAAAAAAAACAATTGACATTAGTAAAAATAATAATTTTTATTATTACCCTTTTTTGGGGAAAATCAATCATTGTAAATATGTAAAATTTTATTATTACTTTTTTTTTTTTTAATAAAATTTTTTTTAAAAAAAAAAATGTATTTATTTGATAAAAATCACATGACTAAATGGATTATTTCCTCCTTTAATTCGACATAATATATGGATCTAGTCAATGATTTGAACTTGAGGAAATGTTATAAATTTGATATAAAAAAATCCTATTACCCGTGCTGCTATAAACCCACGTCGTCCGTTATAGGAATTGTAATCATTGCCATCGAAGACGGTCAGCCAGGTAGCTATAAAAATATATAGAAAAAATTTGTAAACTTTGTCATTAGATCATCAGTTCGGACATTGATTGATTCGAATAATTTAGAGGTGTAATGCACAAATTTAAGTGGGAGCGTTGGTAATTTTTCACTTTTGATTAGTAATACAATTACTTGTCCAACAGATAGAAAAAGAAAATTTTTGTTTTAAAATTTATAATCCTTTAATTACAATTTTTAAAAACAGGTTTCGGATAAATTTTCGATGTCAAATAAAAAAATTTTCGATTTATAAGCGCGGAACTGACAAATTTAATCGCCTAAGTATATAAATGATTTTCCGGAAAAAATATTAGGTAGAATTCATCCAGTTTATTAATAATGTAATACTTTATAATTGAAAAAAAAATTATAAAAGAGGGTGGTTTTTTCTCGATAAAAAAATTTTTAAAGAAATAAAATTAATTCTCTCTCAATTCTCTCTCAAATCAAAAGTTAAATCAAAAAAATAAAATCAAAAATATGGCCAATAAAATTACACGTGAAAATATTGGAAGCCCAAACGCACCATTCTATACCCCACCATCAGGAACTTTAGTCAAAACTACCCAATCTAATGGCGTCATTTCAAAAATCCCATCATTATTTACATCGTTAAAAATTCGTGGTATAACCTTACCAAATAGGATAGCTTTATCCCCAATGTGCATGTATTGCGCGGCGGGAGATGGTACCTTGACAGATTGGCATTTAGTACATCTAGGTCAATTTGCCCTGAGAGGTGCGGGGTTAATTATGGTAGAAGCTACGGCCGTGACACCTGAAGGTAGATTAAGTCCACAAGATTCGGGATTATGGAAAGATGAACAAATTGCTCCATTGAAAAGGATCGTAGATTTTGTTCATTCTCAAGGTGTTAAAATTGGTATACAACTAGCTCATGGAGGTAGAAAATCTTCTACGATAGCTCCTTTTATTAATGCAAAGGCTTATGAAAATAATAAAATTACATTTCCTCAGTTGTTACCTGAAGAATTTGGTGGATGGCCAAACGATGTGTTTGGACCTTCACCTGTTCAATGGGATGCTGAGCATGCTAATCCAAAAGAGTTGACTATAGAACAAATTCACATGATTCAAGAAGCTTTTGTTGCAGCTGCTAAACGTGCCGAAAAGGCGGGATTTGATATAGTAGAATTACATTACGCTCATGGTTACCTTGCTCATGAATTTTTTTCTCCTATTTCTAATAAACGTACAGACAAATATGGAGGTTCATTTGAAAATCGTGTTAGATTTGGGTTGGAAACCGCAAAAAAGGTTCGGGAGATTTGGTCAGAGGATAAACCTTTATTTGTTAGAATTTCTGCTACAGATTTAGTTGAAGATGATGAGGAAGATAGTTGGGAAATAAAACAATCCGTTGAATTATCCAAATTATTTAAAGATCTCGGTGTTGATTTAATTGACGTCTCTTCCGGTGGTAATACCCCTAAACAAAAATTGCTTCTTAAAGAACTTTACCAAGTTCCTTTTGCTGAAGAGATTAAGAAAAATGTTGATATTAATGTTGCGGCCGTTGGTAAAATTAATGATCCTAAACTTGCCAACGGTATTGTGGAAAATGGTCAAGCTGATTTGGTATTTATAGGAAGAGGTTATTTGGCTGATGGTAATTGGGCTATAAGGGCCGCTAAAGAATTAGGCGTAATTATCCAAACTCCTGTGCAATATCATTACGTGATCAAGAATATGATGAAACTTTGATATAATTTCAATGTAAATTAATCTTTGAAATCTCTAACTGAATCGATTCATCATTATAATGCTTCACTGGGAAATCGGTTTATATTCATTTTCATTAATGCATAAAATATATAGAGCCTAAATATAAAATAAACTAAGTCAAATGTATCTGAAAATATTAGAAATATCATTTTTTTTGTATTTAAAAACATGTAAACCGAATCAAAAAAAATTTCAAAAATAATAAATTGACAATTTATTTTAACCATTTAACCAATATTTTTTATATTATATAATAATTGCATCGATATCTAATCATTGTACAATACTGAAAGTTTATTTTTATCATCTTTCCATAAATTAAGAATTTCGGTTGTTTTACGTAAATTTACATCCTTAATGCGCTTTCATTTCCTTATATAATATTTTTCGTGCCAATTTAACCATCAGCTATAAGATTTTTGATCTGTTTCAAATTCGAGATAAAAATTCCAACACAAAATTACTATGATTAAATTTTCTGCGGCCATATCTTGAAAACAAGGTTTATTAATTAGGATGTGGGCAAGATACTTCGAGTTGATTCTGTGTCAATTCTTGAATAAGACCTTCTTTACAAAAACATGATAAACTACGATCAACTTGTGAAAATGTTAGTTACGAATTAGCTCACGAGCTTCATCATATTTTCAGTAACTGGATATAAAGGAGATAGTCACGATTCAGATTTGAAAATTGTCGTAAAAAGTATCTAGCCGCATATACATGTATGGGAGAAGGTCAGTAGAAAAGTGGGAAATCCAAATTTTGGTCAAAATTTATAGCTTAATAATTAAAATTATTGGATTTCCCTGATTAATAAATCGCAGCGACGTCACATCCGATTTAGAATAATCGAATGCATATGTAATAAATCGTAGCGACGGACGCGATTTGCGTCAGATGTCAACTGGCCTAAATTACAGGCCCATTTTTATAACGTCTGGGCAGCATTACTGATGATCACCTTTTATCATTTCTATATTTAGTATCCCGTCGCAAATCGACACCTGACGCACAAAATATACATTTCATTTTGAGATTATGTCTATTGATATATCCAATATTATTAGTCTATTAGTCCAGAGCATAGCAAAGGACTATATAATTCTAGATGCTGTTTGATTCAAATGTACGCATTCTTCCTGCTTAATAATTGAGTTAATCAGTACAAAATTCTAAATTAGTAAAAATAACACATTATTTATTTACATTTACATTTTATACTAAACTCAAATAAATTATACTGCTAAACTCAAAATAAATTATACTAAGTTCCGAATAAGCCAAGCCAACTTTCGAGTCAATTGAGTTGAGTTGAATTGAATCGAGTCAAGTCATAAAAAATTTGACTCGTTTAACTTGAGTTGAGTTTCAAGTTAAGCTTGACTTGACTCGAGATGACTCGAGCTAAACTCAAACCTAAAGTTAAGCACAAACTCAAGCCCAAAGTTGAGCTGAAAAATTTAACAAATTTTTTTTAGAGAAAGTATATAAAAAATCATTCAGATAGAATGATATACATAATTCTAAAAAAACAATAAAAGTTTCGTTCTAATAAAACGATAAATCATCATTTTATAGAAATGATAAAAAAATTGTTCTTTTAGAACTATAATATATCATTTTTAGGAAACAATAGAGAGAATCATTCCAATAAAATGATTATGTATCGTTCTAAAGGAACGATAGAGAGAATCGTTCTAAAAGAATGATAGAAAATCATTCTGATAGAATGATAATGCATTGTTCTAAAGGAATGATAGAGAGAATCATTTTGATAGACTGATAATGCATTATTCTAAAGGAACGATAGAAAGAATTGTTTTAAAAAGAATGATTTGATTATCATTCCAAAAAAAACAATTTATTATTATTCTTTAAGGAATGATTTAATTATCATGTCAAAAAGAACAATTTATTATTGTTCTTTAAGAAATGATTCAATTATCATTTCAAAAAAAACGATTTAAATATCATTCCAAAAAGAATGATCATTCATTCATCATTCTATTAGAATGATTTTATTTATCATTCCTTTAGAATAATGCATTATCGTTCTATCAGAACGATTTTATTTATCATTTCTTTGGAACGATATTTTATCATTCTATCAGAATAATTCTTCTATCATTTCTTTAGAATGATTTATTATTATTCTATCAGAATGATTCTTTTATCATTCCTTTAAAATAATGTTTTATTATTCTATCAGAATGATTCTTTTATCATTCCTTTAGAATGATGTTTTATTATTCTATTAGAACAATTCTTTTCATCATTTCTTTAGAATGATGCATTATCGTTCTATCAGAATGATTTTATTTATCATTTTTTTGAAATGATGTTTTATCGTTCTATTAGAATGATTCTTCTATCGTTCCTTTAAAATGATGCATTATTGTTCTATTAGAACTAAAGATGGTACTATAATTAAGAAATTGCAACTCGGTAAGTTACAACTTGGGTTGCAACTGGTTGTAACTCCTTGTAAAATCTATTTTAATATAAAAATTCATAAATAGTTGCAACTAGTTAAAAATTTTAAAATTAATTACAGCTCTATCTTTAATCAGAACGATTTTATTTATTATTCCTTCAGAACGATTCTTTTATCATTCTTTTAAAACAATGATTTATCATTCAATCAGAACGAATAATTCGAGTCAAGTCAAGTTGAGATTTAAAAATTTTTTTGACCCAACTCGACTTGACTTGATTTTTTTGAATTGAGTTGAGTTTGACAAAAACTCGCTCAATCTGACTCATTCAGAACTCTGATTATATCACTAAACTAAAAAATTTTTTCAGTTGTTCACTCTCAATATCATAGAAATTATTCATTCTTCTTTAACCTTCCTTTCTTAAAATCTTGCAACTCTGAATATATTGAAGTCTTTCATAAGTAAACTGCTTGAAATAAATGTCGTTAAGTGAATAAACTCTTAATATTACAACAAACAAAAAAACTGGTAGCAAACTCCTAACTTCTAAGATCTATTTTGGCCTTCAGAAACATAAGCCTTTAGTTCTTGTATACTGTTATTGCTCACACAAGATATATGAAAACCTGAAATCAAGAATACATCTTTTCAAATTTATATTTTCAGGTGTATTTAATAGGAATAATCAGAATAACTTTATCTTCTTCTAGTGTTGTAATATTAGGACCTTTGTAAAGATCAAATTTTATGAAAATTACTGCTAGTAGTGAAGTTGGTATAGTTTTCACGAATATAATATTGTGTATAATTCTATTAACCTATTTACTAATCCTCCTTTAGTTTATATGTTAGCCATTAACATGACATATGCACCTTTAACCAGTAATACTATACTTTTAGTCCCTTTGCAATGTCTGAATCAGTTTTTAGGTTTCAAGACCTTCAGTATGAATTGCAAGAATTTTAGTTACTGAACAGTTTAATGAACTCAGCATATCTACATTAACTCTATTTACGTCATCCTAAATAGTAAGGATGAATATAATATCTGAAAATCTGTTACATTCTATTTTGTTTAATTTTTCTTCAAAGTATACACTAAGGTTTTTCCAATCATCTAGGCTACAATCTTCATCTTGTAATTTTAAAAGAATTTCTCTAAAGCATTTTTGATTTTTTGAATCACCTGATTAACATTGAATCATATTGAGTTTATACACCTCCCAGAAATTTTGTATAATGCTATACAATCATTGGAAGTTGTATCATGTGAAACATTTTGGCATATATAGGAAAGTCTATCACTAGTAGAAATTGCCTAAAATCTTTAAATAAGGTCTGCTAAAAAATTTGTTATTGTTTTTAGAAAAGGTTTTCCTTAATCTTTTGTCAATTAAAGCAAGCATTCTCCTTTCTACAGTGAACTCTTGATATAACGAATTCTAGGATCTGGATATCAACTTCGTTATAAGCTTATAACGAATTTTTTA